CTGAGCGACAGTGTAAGTCTCCTCTGGCTCATTCAAATTTGTTTTACTTTCTTTTTGAGAGCTTCTTTTGCTTTCTTCATTTATTCTAACCCTAGGAAACAACTACTAACATCTTGCTTGCTTCTATGAGTTTAGATTCTACCATCCCTAAATCCCTAAATCCCTAAATCCCTAAATCCACACCTAGCCCCAACTGTTCATGCTGACACTCCCCAACACACATGCAACCCTGACATCAAGCTAACAGGGATGGTTGAAGAACACAGCCTATGCTGAAGCCCATCCTTAGGATACTGATTGCTGCTGTACTGTTTGCCAGTGATAGACTCTGAACATACAAGCTTGTTAAAAGGAGGAAAAGCTGGGCATGGTGTTATATATGCCTTATCCCAGCACCCAGATGGCAGACAGAAGTGGATCTCTGTGAGTTCATGTCCTGCCTGGTGAACACAATGAGACCCTGTTCAAGCAAACAAACCAAAACAAAACAGAACTCCTAACATGACTGTGTTCAGTAGACAGTAAGTGGTAGATAATACAGGGCTGGAGAAATAGCAGTTGCAAGCATTTGCTGTTCTTCCAGAGGACTTAAATTTGGTTCCTGGCACCCGCATAAGACAGCTCACAACCTTCTGTAACTCCAGGTCCAGATCTAAGCTGTCTCCTGGCCTCTGCAGCCACCTGCATACAAATGGTATGGACTCTCACACAGAGACACATTAAAAACAAACAGATCATTTCAGGAAAACTCACAAGTGTGCTGTTTTCTTAAGTAACTTAGTCTTGCTGGGCAGTGGTGGCGCACACCTTTAATCCCAGCACTTGGGAGGCAGAGGCAGGCGGATTTCTGAGTTCGAGGCCAGCCTGGTCTACAGAGTGAGTTCTAGGACAGTCAGAGCTATACAGAGAAACTCTGTCTTGAAAAACAAAAACAAAAACAAAAAAAAAAAAAAGAAGAAGAAGAAAGAAACTTTGTCTTGTTTGTCTTGCTTCTCTCTGTAAGACACAGCACTGGGGCTGTGTGGCAAACAAAGACCTGAAGGTTACTTCTGTAACTGTTATCTCTGACCTCAGTTTAAGATGCTCTTCACTTCAAAAAAATCTAGAGTTTTCAGGTTCAAAATTTAGAGGCTATAAAAAAATTAGCATTTTCCTTTTCCTATCTATGTATGCAAAGGTATGAGTACATGTTTGTGTGTGTGCACACAGAGGCCAGAAGCCAATGCCATGTCTTTCCCTGTGACTTGCACTATTATTTACCCTTGGTTTTCTTTGCGTGTGGATGCACTCGTGTTTGTGAGTGCATGTACACGTGTGAGCATGTGTGTATGTGGGGCAGAGGGGTGATGAGTGAGGGGCGTGCTTGTTAGGTATTGTGTGGAGGTCAGTGGACAACTTGCCTGAGTTGGTTCTCTCTAACCTTGTAGCTTCTGGGAATTAAACTCGGGTCATGAGGCTGGATGGCAAATGCCTTTAGCAACTGGGCCTACTGCTGATTCTCTTTACCTTATCTGGAGGATCTCTTGCTGATTCTGAAGCCCTAGCAACCTAGCAAAACCAGCTGGCCAGGGAGCTCTTGGATCTGCCCAAATTTCTTACATAATAAAATAAAGACGTCAAGATGGCGCTTCCACCCTCTGTGATGGCCTCTGAGGAGATGGGGTCAAGTACTAGTGACAAGCACTGTGGTGCTTCAAGGTGAGTCCACACTGCACCTTTGGCATTGCCATATATTGGCAGGTGAAAAACTATCGATTTTAATAGATCTTGAATCTTTTTACTACTATAACAAAATGAAGCACTCAGAAGTTAGTTGATAAAAGAAATCCAACTGCATCTTTAATTCATTCTGAGAAGGGCAAGGCACAAAAAAGACCGTACTGGTCCTCAAAGGATGCTGCATGGCTGTAAGGAATTACTCAAGCTTCTCCTTAAAGGAACACGCCATTTCATGCTCTGGCACCTGCCTGACCACTTCACGTGGGATAAACAGCAAGCTGTTGATTTAAGGTTGGGAAAGTACCAGCGGCCACTGTCAAACAGTCACGACCCTCTTAGTTATGATTGAGAATGCTTCCAGCCCACTTTCAGTAAGAAGGCTTTGCAACTGAAAATGTGCACTTTCACCAAGCATTAAACATCATTATAAAGTTTCATAACAATACTGACAGGAAGTACGTGCCCGTCCTTGGCATAACAAGAGCCATTTAGGCGGTGCATGGAACAGCAGAGAGTGGAGATGCTGTTAATACCGTGTATAAATAACAGAGACCTTGCTTCTGAGTTTGAACTGGCATCTGAACAACTAAGCCTGTATTTATGGTTATGTCTGTTATTTAGTACGCAGCTGTCGAGAACTGTTTAGCTTCATGTGGTCTGCAAATCCGCACACCACCTCCTACTCCTTCCTTCACAAAACTAGCTGCCTGGTAAATGTTTTGTTTAGCCTTTTAGAGACTTTTAGTGTACTTAAGAATTGTTTCAGTCATTCAATAACACCAATTTTAACAATACAATATTTAATATTAATGTAACATTTAGCATTATTGCCGGTATTTAATACCATGATTTAATTGTTTGACACTTTACAGTAAGCAGTCCTAACTAACTCTAAAACTAGCAGTAGGACTCACTATATACAGTGGCCTTGCTATTCGCTCCATCAATCTGTGTTGAGCTCTGAGTCTGTATCAGAGCTTTTCCTTGCTCAGCACGATGGCCTTGCAGGGCTCTAGTACACTGCTGGACCTGAACTTCTGGCATGGGTCCCAACTGGTTATTTCTTAAGCCATGCTTTGAGCAAGAACTGTGTACACTGTCATGTTGCACACAGGAAAGGATATCCCTGGAATAAGTTTGTGGGAAGAGAAAATCTCTCCCTTGGGAAGGTTAGAGTTGAGTCCGAGTGTGTGAACAGTAGAGTTTTGTCACAGCCATTTGCAAATCTGAGCCCCTCTGAGGTTAGTCAGTTTATAAAACATAGTAGCTTTACCTATCTCTTCCATACTTTTGACAACTCTTTGGATTACTTTTCTAATCAAGCAAGAGACAAGTAATGTTCCTCTATTAATTAAAATTACATATCCTCTTTTTTTTTTGTAAGTAAGGTACAGTGTATTTTCTTATTTTAAAGAGCTATTTAATGTCCTTTAAAATGAATAGCTGCTATAGTCTTTGATGGTATGTCAATTTGAGTATATGTAGCTTTATAGTTGTTTTTAGGAATATCTTATCTTTTAGGACCTCAACTACTTGTGACATGAATTGAAATATTTCTCCCATTTGTCATTTGCCGTTTATTATATTTTGGCTATTAAGAAACTTACCTAAAATACAAAGCTTATTCATAATTTATTTGATGTTTTGTGGGGATGTTTCAGGATTAGGAAGTTTTAACTTGAGTAATTTCTACAGTAATTACTTAATTTAAAAAAATCTGACCACTTAAGCATTTGGAATTTTATAGTGTTTGTTTGCAAGGCAGTTTTCTTCTTCAGCTATTTACCGCAATTTTGGTCTTAACTTTAATCAGATAGCTCATAAAGACAAATATTTCTGCAAAAATCTGAGAACAGCTTAGAGAAAGGAGACACTTCTGATAGAGCTGGTCCTTCTTTTTAGTCAGAAGTGTTGAAGCTCATGTGTGCTCTGGGGCTTTCTGGTCTACACATCCTACTTATGCTGAAGTTTGTAGTTACCTTCAGGTTTTCATTAGGAAATATAACTGTGAACCAAGAAGCTTTGTGGTTAAGTCATGTTCCATATTCCTTAATCATTTATGTATAAACTCGTGGCAGAGTGGCTGGGCCAGTGGATCTGTTGGTTTATGTCCCTGGTGCTGCTGTGACCTTGCCCTGTGCAGACACTGCCCTGACTCTGCTGTCCAGAAGCCACTTCCTAACAAGGTGTTTGGTGCTGCACTTCCAATTAACAGTAAGGAGTACTCTGCCACGAGCCCACCTGTGCTTAGTGATTTTAATACACCTACTGGCTATGTATGGTGGTTCTCTTTCTGACAACTGTCCCTGTTTTGCTCGTGCTGCTTTGTAAAGTCTGGGGAAATGGTTGCGGGATGGAGACCAACCTCTGGATTTGCTGTCTTGAGGCCCCACTTTAGCTTTCACATGTCTGACTTTCATAAGGAGCTACACTGTGAAAACAAAGCCTGCTAACCCACCTTCCCACACTTCCCTCCCTGTGCAGATGTGCAGGTCTCGCCTCCGAGGCTCGCCTTTGTGTCTGTCTGAATCCAAGTTAAAGCTTTCCGTTGGTTCTTAAGTACTGAATCTCAGATGCATCTTCTAACCTCTTCCTTTTCAGCTTCATTGGTGTTTTTCCTTTCTTTCCTTCTGCTTTTGTTTGTTTTACTTCTAGACTCTGTAATAGGCCATCACCTCTTCCTACACCCATCCTATATCGTAAGGTCAAAGAGCTTTTTGAGATAAGCATTTAGTAAACTATCAGTCTTTATCTTCTTAAAATTTAATTATTATGAAAGCACTTACACTTCATGTTTGCTCGAAGACTGTAAGACACTGACTACACCACATGCGTTTCTCCATACACTGTTCCAATTACTTCTGGAAGCCTCCACTATTGTTACGTCTTCCTTGAGTTGTGCCATTCAAAAAGCTCTTCTACTATGTTTGTTTTAAAAGTGGCATTACATTTTTTGTCTATTGTTAATGCCCATTTTTATTACATTAAAATAATGAGGCCATGAATCTGAAGGTGAGCAGGGATGGGGGGGGTGTAGGAGGGAGAAATGCTGTAACTAAAATACAATCTCAAAAACAAACAAGCAAGCAATCAAAACTACCTCAACATATGGCCTTATAACTTCCTTTTTCCTCTTTAGAACAGGAGCAATTTTTACATTACTCTCATCTCTCTTTCCCCGGGGCACGACTGAACGGCGGCGCTGTGGCAGATGTTCTGGTTAAATGTCAAAACACCAAGTTAACAGAAATGGGATGGTTTCCATTAAAAAGACTTGTTACCTGAAACATGTCCGTATCTTTATCATGTGTGTACTCCACCACGACAGTCTGGTTCCGTGACAGAGTGTAGGATATGCTGTGCTGACCTTTGCAGCTGATGGCCTAATCGTGAGAGGGAAGAAAAGAAAAACTCATTTAAATCTCATCTTAGCAACTGGCCTCGCTTCTGTTACAGTTCAGCCACTTCTTCACCAGGAAAACCCAGCATGAGCCAGCATCTTCCCGGGAGGAGCCAGCATCATCCCGGGAGTCAGAGCCTGTCCCCATACTCCACTCTAAAAGGTTTAGTTTCAGGAAACTTTGTCATATACTCCAGACAGGTGTAAAAAAATCAGTTAGTTGATTTGCAACACTTGATTTAATTATATTGTCAGAAAAATATACACAGCCTCCTTATTCCCAAACTTAAGTGATAGAACTTTTAGACCAACTATGGTGATTTCTTTAAATTTTTAAAATTTCTTTCACACAATGGATAAATTAATGAGAATCTGTCACACTGCTTCATCTGTGTTAGAGAGATAATTATAAGCACAGTAAAAAAGGCACTGAAAACACTATTAATATTCTGCAAGGATGCCTAAGTGACAACACAAAGTTCCAACTCACAGTTGTGTCTACACTGGGTTCTGCGTCTCAGTTACATCTTGTATAAGCAATGCTGCACTCACACATTTTGTATCTTAAAAAGTACGGTAACAGGATGTGGTGGTACTTTACAGAAATCCTAGTGCTTGAAAGATGGAGGTAGGAATGTTGGGAGTTTGAGGTCAGTCTGGGCAACAAAGCCAGAGCAAGAAGCTATTTCTAAAATACAAACAACTTATTTGTAGTTTTCCCTGTTTTATTTTTATTTTTTTAAACAAACAAGCCGATCCTCTTTCTCAAGTGATCTACTAGGAACAGTAAGACAAGATACTGCTCATGGTTTTCCATAACAATGTTTGAATATGTCTTAAGTTGTAGTCAAATGCTTTTAATATTTCTAAATTAGTAAGGGAATTGATTTCAATGATACTCCAAACTGTTTCAATTACATTTCCTCTAGTACTTTAATATATCTTCATTTCTATTCTTTATTAAGCATAATAAATAAAACTTTAATAACCTCCTCTATTAAACATTTATTGAAGGAAGGCACTGTCTGAAGAGCACAAAACCCTTCTGAAGTAGCTGAACATATACAGCATGCCCACACAAGACTGAGCATCTCTGTTTGACCAACTGCTCAGAGCAGTAAGCAGCAGAGAATCCGAGGCACAATAAACCTGGTGACCCTTCCAGAGAGTTAATAATATCTAATGAGGAGCTCTGTGACTGACCTTTTACTTTACAATACTTTATTAAGATACTGTAATTACTATAGGCAACAGAGCTCTTTAATATGGCCTAAAATCTCAAAACCACTTCTTACTTAACACTACCGAGAATAGTCTTCCAACCATTCACTGGATGAGTCAGATAAATTCTATCTTAACGCAAACATATTCTATTTAAGTTAAATCAAAGTTGCTTTATTAGTTTGGAAGATCAGGGACTAGACAAGGCTGCCCACTCTCCCCCTACCTATTCAATATAGTACTGGAAGTCCTAGCCAGAACAATTAGACAACAAAAAGAAGTCAAAGGGATACAAATAGGAAAGGAAGAAGTCAAAATATCACTATTTGCAGATGATATGATAGTATACTTAAGTGACCCCAAAACTTCCACCAGAGAACTCCTAAACCTGATAAACAACTTCAGCAAAGTGGCTGGTTATAAAATCAACTCAAACAAATCAGTAGCCTTCCTCTACATGAAAGATAAACAGACTGAAAAAGAAATTAGGGAAATGACACCCTTCACAATAGTCACAAATAATATAAAATACCTTGGTGTGAATCTAACCAAGCAAGTGAAAGACCTGTATGACAACAATTTCAAGTCCCTGAAGAAAGAAATCAAAGAAGATCTCAGAAGATGGAAAGATCTCCCATGCTCATGGATTGGCAGGATATAAAAATGGCCATCTTGCTAAAAGCAATCTACAGATTCAATGCAATTCTCATTAAAATCCCAACTTAATTCTTCACAGAGTTAGAAAAGGAAATTCTCAAATTCATATGGAATAACAAAAAACCCAGGATAGCGAAAACTAGTCTCAACAATAAAAGAACTTCTGGAGGAATCACCATCCCTGACCTCAAGCTGTACTACAGAGCAATAGTGATAAAAACTACCTGGTATTGGTACAAAGACAGGCAGGAAGATCAATGGAATAGAATTGAAGACCCAGAAATGAACCCACACACCTATGGTCACTTGATCTTTGACAAAGGAGCTAAAACTGTCCAGTGGAAAAAGGACAGCATTTTCAATAAATGGTGCTGGTTCAACTGGAGCACAACATGTAGAAGAATGAAAATTGATCCATTCTTATCTCCTTGTACAAAGCTCAAGTCTAAGTGGATAAAGGACCTCCACATAAAACCAGATACACTGAAACTAATAGAAGAGAAGGTGGGGAAGAGCCTCGAATACTTGGGCACAGGGTAAAAGTTCCTGAACAGAACACCAATGGCATATGCTCTAAGATCAAGAATTGACAAATGGGACTTCATAAAATAGCAAAGTTTCTGTAAGGCAAAGGACACTGTCAATAGGGCAAAACAACAACCAACAAATTTGGAAAAGATCTTTACCAATCATACATCCGATAGAGGGCTAATATCCAATATATACAAAGAATTCAAGAAATTAGACTCCAGACAACCAAATAACCCTATTAAAAAATGGAGTATAGAGCTTAACAAAGAATTCTCAACTGAGGAGACTCGAATGGCCGAGAAGCACCTAAAGAAATGTTCAGCATCCTTAGTCGTCAGGGAAATGCAAATCAAAACAACCCTGAGATTCCATCTCATACCAGTCAGAATGGCTAAGATCAAAAACTCAGGTGATAGTAGATGCTGGCGAGGGTGTGGAGAAAGAGGAACACTCCTCCATTGTTGGTGGGACTGCAAGATGGTGCAACCACTTTGGAAAACAGTCTGGCAGTTCCTCAGTAAATTGGACATAGCATTACCTGAGGATCCAGCTATACCACTCCTAGGCATTTACCCTGAAGATGCTCGAACATATAACAAGGACATATGCTCAACTATGTTCATAGCAGCCTTATTTATAATAGCCAGGAGCTGGAAAGAACCCAGATGTCCTTCAACTGAGGAATGGATTCAAAAAATGTGGTATATTTACACAATGGAGTATTACTCAGCTATTAAAAACAATGAATTTGAGAGGTTCCTAGGTAAATGGATGGAACTAGAAATTATCATCCTGAGTGAGGTAAGCCAATCACAAAAGAACACACATGGTATTCACTCACTGATTATTGGATATTAGCCCAGAACCTTGAAATGCCCAAGATGCAACTCACAGGCCACATGAAGCTCATGAAGAAGGAAGACCAAGTGGGGGTGATTCGGTCCTTCTTAGAAGGAGCAACAAAATACTCAAGGGAGCAAATATGGAGACAAAGTGAGGGACAGAAACTGAAGGAGGGGCTGTCTGAAGACCATTCCACCTGAGTATCCATCCCTTGTGCAGTCGCCAAAGGTAGATGTTGATGTGGAAGTCAGGAAGTGCATGCTGATAAGAGCCTGATATAGATGTCTCCTCAGAGGTCTCCAAGAGTCTGACATATTCAGAGGCAGATGCTCACAGCTAGCCATTGAACTGATCATGTGGTTCCCAATGGAGGAGTTAGAGTGAGGACTGAAGGAGCTGAAAGGGTTTGTGGCACCATGAGGAGAGCAACAATACCAACCAACCAGAGCTCCCAGGGTCTAAACCACCAGCCTGGGAGCACTTAGGGAGGGATCCAGCACTTCAGTTGAATATGTAAGAGTGGAGGGCCCTGCTGGGCAGAGGTGGGAGAAGAGATCCTTGGCCTCATGAAGGCTGGACGCCCCAGGGGGTGGGAATTTTGAGGGTGGGGAGGTGGGAGTGGGGGGGTAGGTAGGGGTTACATCTGCAGAGAAGAAGGAGGAGGGTTGAGGGGATAGGGAGTTCCTGGGTGGGTGGGGGATGGGGTAAGGGGACAACATATGAAATGTAAATAAAACATCCAATAAAAAGAAAAAAAAGAAAAAAAAAGAAAAAAAGAAAAAAAAAACAAGAAGTTACCAAGACTCTGCATAAGCTCCAAGAAGACAACCAGTGCTGAGTCGGCTCACAGGACACTGCCAGCACCTCACAGCAGTCACCTCACAGGACAC